AAAATAGTGATCAAGACTTAGGAGCCAAACCAGTCAACATCAAAACTGATTTCCGGCAAGTGCAGCTGCCGAGTGACTGTAGTGCATCTCAGCTACAGATGGAATAAACTAAACTGATGGTTGAACTCAGGGCATTTGCTTGGAACAGCCATAAATCGTGAATTGAAATGCCTGTCTTCATAGTCGTATTAACATCATCAAAAGAACAATGATCAGTAGAAAGGCTCTTTTAAAACTTCAACTATTAATAATGCTGAACAGATTTACTTTATAAATCATGCATAAACCATACAGATGTCCACTTTTGATTATACCCTTCCACATACCTCCTGTCTGACCCCCCCGCCCCCCCACCGTCCTTCCCCCCGCCCCAGGTTGTCCACTTCTGTTGGATTCACTGTGAAAAATGTGTAATTTTTAGGGAATGAGATAGGAAGGATGTGTAAGACAAGATTATTTAAAATGGTAGTTCTCAAACATTTGAGTGTGTCAGAGTCACCTAGATGGCTAGTTAAAACACAGAGTTGTTGGGCATCATTCCTAGAGTTCCTGGGTGAGTACGAATGGGGTGGGGCCTGAGAATTTGCATTTCTAACCAGCTGTCAGGTGATGCTAATGCTGCTGGTCCAAGTACCACACTTTGAGAATCACCGTGAGAGGAAGGTGCTTTCTGATCAAGAGTGTTAATTGCTAGTTGACGGTAGAATTCAAGGAAACACGAGTGAAGTTACTTCCTGAAACCATAGGAGCACTTTGGCTTGGCAGTTATCAAGGGAGCCTCCTTTTAAAAAGCTTATTTATACCCCTTAGCCAGGACGTAGGAAAGCAGGGGAACTGTTCTAGTAATCTGTTGTTTTTCAAGTAGTTGAGGTAACTAGGAGATCATTGTAATACCAGTTTTTAAAAGAAGGAATGTAGATTCCCCCATTTGACCAGGGAATTTAACAATCATAGGGAAGATTCTGATACAGAAAGGGATATGATAGGGGCGGCTGGCTGGCTCAGTCAGTAGAGCATGTGACTCTTGATCTTGGGGTTATAAGTTTGAGCCCCATGTTGGGTGTAGAGATTTTTTATAAAATGAAATCTTTAAAAATAAATAAGAAAGGGATATGTTACTGAGAGCCAAAATTAAAACAGGAAAAAAACATGCTTGTTTTGTTTTTTGTTACTTGAATAAATTTCTAGACTTAGTGATACTGTGGCAGGCAAGGCCATCCATAATCTAGCCTTGAATTATCCTTCTGGTCCCCTTTCTCTTCTCTCTCTGAAATGATCCCCTTCTCGCTATGTCCACCCACACACCCTCTCCTGCTTTACTTCGAATTCTCTGAGCAAAACATGCTCTCTTATATTTATGTGCTTTTTTTCATATACTATTCCATCTGTATGGAATGCCTTCCCTCACTCCCTCTTCTTTTTCCACCTGTTTATTTACTGCTTTTCATTTAAGATAACTTTGTGATCCTCTTAGTAGAGATCAGGTGCTTTAGCTGTATGCTTCCATAGCATTCATCATTAACTTTATGATGACATTAATCACTCTATTATCTTTTATCTGTATCAACACCCCCCCACACATATACTGTAATTTGATTTTTGCCTTTTTTTAAATCTTTTTTTTAACATGCTATTTATTTATTTATTTTTTAGAGGGGGTGGGAGTGAGAGAATCCCAAGCAGGCTCTACGCCCAGCAATTTGGGGCTTGATCCCACAGCCCTGAGATCATGACCTGAGCCAAAATCAAGAGTCAGATGCTCAGTAGACTGAGCCACCCAGGCACCCCTACCTTTTTTTAATCTTTGAGTCTTTAGCATTATATATGGTTCCAGGAACATAATAGGTATTTAATGCATGTTGAATAATCAGTCCTTCTGAAAAATGTCAACATAATGCAGTAATGGAGTTCCAGTCTTAGGTCCAAATCTCTGCTTCTTTAACTACTTAGAGCATGACCTTGGGCAAGTTGTTTAAACTCTTTTGAGCCTCAACTTGTACTAAGTATTCATTCCCTAATACATAGTAGGTGCTTAAATGGCAGCTACTGTTTTACTATATTTGCATCTTAGACTATTTAACAGTCTTGCAATAACTATATGGTCAAGATGGGAAATTTTGGACTATGTGATATAATTAATTCAGAAGTGGTGAAACTTACATTTTTGTAAGGCTTTCTCTAGGGGCATGCTCCATGGCTCGATTTCATTGTCCTGAGCTTTTCAATATTTTAACAACAGCTCAGCTGAGGATGTTGATGGCATGGTGATCCTTACTTAGAAGGAGAATTTCTTTTGCTAATTAGGATCCTAGAAGTTCCTGACTGATTGGTAGACAAAGTGATATTTTTGAAGGAATTGATGTAAATTATTCAGCTGGGATCAAAACATTCAATTATATAAATTCAAATTGGAAGTGGGAGAGGAATGGAAAAGAAGGTAATGGGTCAAAATCAGTGTGTGAGGGGAGTTGGGATTTTGATTAAACCAGGCCCAATATAAATAACGTGTGATGTAACTGCCAACAAAGCCTGTGTGATATTAGACTGCATCAGAGGGAGAGTAGTATCTAGAATGTGGGAAGGAATTAATCTGTTCCATCCTGGCTCGTCATACTGCCTGAGAAGTACTGTAGCCCATTCTGGACACCACTTCTGAGAGGCATATTGATAGGAGGGAGGCCAGATAGACTGAAGACTGAGACTGTGCTTCAAAGAAGAACGTGTGGAAAAAAACCATAGCCTTGAGAAAGCAAGCCTGCGGGGTGGGGGTAGGAGGTGTATTAGATATCTTTGGACATTGGAAGGAGGCTTGCTTAGACTTCGTCTGAACAGCCGCAAAGCCCAGAACTAGAACCAAAGGGTGGAAGTTATAAAGAAGCACATTTCTAGTTAAAACAAGGGGAAACACTGTTCATAGGGTGGTGGAGCCCCTCTTAGTCATTGCAGGGGTTGAGGGAGTACTTGTACCAAGAGGGATGTTATTACATGGGTGTGTCACTAATATAGTGTAGGTGTTGAATTAACAGAGATTCTGTAAACCAAGGAGAAAGTTCTTAACTTTGTTTTGTTTACACTATACATTCCTAAGTAGAATGTTCAGCACCATACCTGAAAGATTCAGAAGTACAATCTTTTTCAGAGAAGTAAGTTGCAAAAAGAAAAAAATTCTGCAGTTATCATCACACTCTCCGTTTGTCTTCCCTACAAAGTTATTATCTACAGCTTTTCCCCTATTTTCTTAAATACGCACCAAGCTAAGTTTTCCTAAGTTTGGCTGGAGACTCCACTAGGCCTTTTCCCTTATTTGCAGCAGGGTTCGTGTTGTGTATGATCACTCAAACATTGTGTCTGAAAGATAGAGTGGTAACAGAATGTATCCTCAGTTGTAGCAAAATGAAATGTCCCACAAGGCTGGTGATTTGGTGGTACACCTTTGAAGCTTTACAGGATGTCTTAAGTGCTACAGCGTACTGTGTATGGACCACCAGACAGCAATGATTCTTGGGGGGGAAAGAACCGAGGAGAACGGGAAATAAACTAAGAGATTAGAAGATGATTCTAGAGAGATGTACCTGCTTCCTATTTTCCCTAACACTGCTTTCCCCAGATGTGGAGACAAACTGCCCTACTCTGAGGAACTCCTTTCCTCTTAGAACCATAGGGCTCTTAATTGTGACCTGCTTTCGTTAGCCTTTCTTTCCTCGACGTCTTCATCCCTCTCAGTGGAATCCGGGTATCCCTTTTGTGTTTCCCTAAGGCAATTCCCTTTGGGTTTAATTTCAAGATTAGAACTAGTGTAAATTGTGTGCGTGGCATTATAAAATAAAGCATACACACACAAAATATCTTATTGGTGAGCCAAATCTCTAAGCCCATGATTAGTGAGTTAAAAGTGTTAAATAACTATTGCAGTATTTGCTTTATATGTGTGTGTATATATATATTTGTTTGCCGCAAATACTTAGGCCCACCATGAGGACACACATCGATAAATGAAGGTATGGGGGAAGATGGGGAGAAAGAAGGAAATGGGAAACTTTTACATGTAAATAAAAAGAAGTATTTTTTAAAATAATTTTTTGTGGGGTGGCTCAGTCAGTTAAGCATCTGACTTGATTTCGGCTCAGGTCATGATTTCAGGGTCATGAGATGGGAGCCCCACATTGGGCTCTGTGCTCAGTGGGGAGTCTGCTTAAGATTTTCTCTCTCCCTCTGCCCCTCCCCCTGCTTGCATGCACGTGTATGTGCGCACGCTCTCTCAAATAAATAGATAAATCTTTGAAAAAAAATAATTTTTTGTTACCTGTATTTGATCACCTGCCTTCTGGGATTGTGAAAGGTTAATGCATTTGGCTGTCCATAAGGAGAAAAGTTCAATTTCATTTGAAGTGTTCCCTCATTGAAAACATCAGTTTGCAGCATCCAAGAGGACTTCTTATTTCAGTTATTATCTGAATTTAAAATTTGTTTATATGTATGTTGTATTTATTTCTACTTTATATATATACATAACAATAATTGTAGAGTTTTTAAAGCATATAGAATACTGATGTTTTAGCGGTTTTTTTTTTTTAAGATTTTATTTATTTATTTGAGAGAGAGCACGAGCAGGGGCAAGGGTCGGGGGAGAGGGAGAAGCAGACTCCTCGCTGAGCAGAGAGCCAGATGTGGGGCTTGCTTCCAGGACCCTGAGATCATGACCTGAGCCAAAGACAGATGCTAAACCAACTGAGCCATCCAGGGGCTCCTGTCTAAGCAGTTTAAAAATGAGGTACTTTTAGACCTAACAAAAATTATCCTCAAAATTGTTTTTCATATGTACAGGATGCCAGGTGAGGGATTTGACCACAGCCAATGTGCTATTTTGTTTTCTGTCCCTAGTGTTCATGTCGTGTGCATGAACCTATGAAGGAATTTGGGTTTGCTTTAGAGCTAATGTAGTATGCATATGTGTGACATATTTTTATTTCAATTATTGTTTCACTTTTTAAAATTTTCAGCATGTTGGAACAGGATTCCAGGAGAAAGAATCCTAGTGTGAACCCTGCAAATCAAAGGAGGCATCTTCTAGAATTTTCTGCTAAAGAGGTGGAAGATACATCAGATGGTATCATCCAGAAAAACAGCTACAGGTTAGAAGATGGCATGTCTCTGTCAAAATGATGTAATGAAACTGCCGTGGGGAATTATATAGTACAACTTTACATCTAAATTGTGAATGCGCAGTTTTAATTTGTAGAACAAACAAGTTTTGAGGCCCTTAGTAAATTTTACTGTTAAGATCAGTTCTAAGAATAAATTTCCTTTTGAAACCTTTCCCAATTTTGGAATTCTTAGAGAGATGTGACCTTAAAATCTCAGTTTGTATGTACTGAGATACATACGGAGGCACATACAATATACATACATTATATTATACATAATGTTTTTAATATAGTTTTTATCTGTCATATGGTTACATGTATATAGTGTATGTAATAGTATCATCTTCGGATGAATATGATCTGGTGGAGTGATATCGGTGAACCTCTGTGCAGTCATTTGATCAGATCGTTTATACTTACTGTGATCTTTGTTGGATCTCCCTCCCTTGTGATGGTTTATCATTCTCCTGGTAAATTTCTATATAGCTTGCCCATAGTAAAAGACCTAAAATTTTTTGAAAAGACAAGGTCTGTATTATGTAAACTAGAAGAAGGCTGTAGTGGACATTTTCAGAGCTGTATACTTTTTGATAAACATTTCCCTGTGATATTTGGAATTTTTATTAGAACCAAGTGGAGTGAGGTCCTTGACTAACAAAGCAAAGGGAGGTCACAGTGTGGCAACAATGTATTGCACAATATAGTGCTTGAGAATCATTAAAGATTTGTTTACTTGTAACTCTGTAAGGTTCTACATGCCAAGGGCCATTAGGGGAATCTTTTTTTTTTTTTTCTTTACTGTGACAGCCATATCACTGAATGAAATTATTACCATAGTCCTGTGGGCTTGTCTCCATTTAGCCTTCCTGGAAAAAATATGCTAGTATTCATTATTTTAGGAATCTACAGTGGGTAAAGTACTATGTTAAGTGTGGCGGAGGATCCAGAGAATTATATGGCAGTAATGTAATGTGTACAATGTGATGCATGCCATAATATTGGAAACTGTAATAATATATATAACGTTTCTTGCTTTTTTTTTTTACGTGCCAAAATTAGCCATACTTCTGAATACTGATCTTAGTGCTCATTTAATGGTGTCTTTGAATATTGCTAGAGTTAAATAGTATCTTTCATTTTACTACATCATTTGTCCAAGTTTGCCCTACATGTTCTGCATGTAATTTTGAGTTCTGTTGTCCACATGAGACCCCTCAAACCTTACATTTTCATTTGAGAGTCTTTGGATTTATGAGAGTTGAGAATGTGCCTTTTGGGTACATATTGCTGGTTGTTAAAAAGTAGAACTAATTATTGATTATATACTTGAAATTACAGTTCAGATAACCTTTACAAGAATGTTACTTATTTTGTACTAACCTCAGTAAATAGACGCCTTCACCCATTTGTCTGTGGGAGAGTAAGGTAACATGGAAAGCACAGTGTTCTGACCATCTTAGTTCAACCTAGATGTTTGAATGACCTTCAGGCTATAATTTATCAGCTTCCAAAGTAGTGTATGAAATGCAAACCGTTTGCCGTTCCCCACCCCAGAGTCACCATTGCCTGTGCTGTGTTACTGGTATTGGTAAAACACGGAAAAGATTATGGATTCTTGGCTGCATGTAAATCTCTTGAAATATCTAAGATTATTATTGAGCAGCTTGAGAGATGCAAGTAGGTATCAGTCCATCAACTTGTTATTCTTGCTTTTATCATTATAAATACTGAATAAAAGATACCAAGTGTGCAGCATTTGAAAGCAGCAAATACAAATGTGTTTTGAACTGCATTTTAGTTGGTTTATTTATACACAGCCATGACACTTTGTTTATTTTTTAATGCAGCTTACCTTTTATTATGTTTCATTTTTAGGAGAATTATGAGAACTGGTTCAAATAAAAAAGGAGTAGATTGTAATCCCATAATTTATAACATTGCATTCTCTTAGCATTTAGTAATTAAATGCATATATGTTTTCAGTTTTAGAAATGTGTAGTTTATAATAAGATGACCGTATAATTTGTCAACCAAATTGGGATACTTTTAAGAATGGAAGGTAGTGCTAAGTAATAATTACATCAGGACATCAGGCATAAATCCAGGACTGTCTTGGATAAATGGGAAGGAATGGTTCCCCTACATAGAAGGCATCAGCCAGAACCTGTCTTTATTCCAGGGATTCTCATTAACTCTACCTCCCTAGCACTGCCCTTTACTTTAGTTATTTTTTTGCTGAAATGGTATCTATTGATATGAAATAGTTTGCAAGCAGTTTAGGACTCCGACCATCTCAGGATTAGTGTGGATCTGATTGTCTCCAGATTGCATGTTGGCTTAGATTCTCCCTTTTCTTTTCCCTTCAGCTCCACCCGGTTCCTTTCCTGGTATTTCTCCTATCAGATTTTTTTTTCTTTTCCAAAGAATATTTTTGGCTGATAGAACAAAGCCAGTTAGCACAGATGTGTAGAAGTCATTATACTAGAGTTTATCATGTGGAAATAAAATTATAGATCAAAAATACATCTTCAGAAGTAATTTTAGATTTCTCTGATGGATAGTAGCATTTACATTTTTGTAAGTATGAAGGCCTGATTTTTTAAACTAAGGCACATGTGACAGATCTTTGGTTTTTGTTGTTTTGGTTTTTGTTTTTTTTAAGTGTAGCAAACAGCCTTCTCTTGTAGGCATTCAGAATTTACCCAATACAAGGGAGAGATTTTTTTTTTCTTTTCTCTCAACACTTAATTTTAGGGTGATTTCGTGCAGTTACTACCTGTGCATCACCATCTCTGTGTTATTCCAAACAATTTAACTCTCAGAGGCAGAGGAGGAGACATGGAGAATGTTCTGGTGCAACTTGCAGGGAAGAATGATGTGTATATCCTCAGCTGTTGCTTTTTTCCCATGGTGTGTGGCATACAGAGTAGTCTGTAACTTTTCTCTTAAAGTTGGTTTTTCAGTCTGCCAAAATTATTTTTGTCAAGGAGGCCAGTTATTTCAGTGTTGACAAATTCAGTGGAAACTTCTGTCTTTATCTTGATCTTTCCTCAGCATCTGGCTGTGTGGATCCCTCCTTCCTTGAAACATTCTCCTTTGTGTTGCTACATTTTCCAGTTTCTGTCTTTTTTCACGGGCCTCTGATTCAGTCATCTTTCTGGGCTCCTCCTTTATCCAAATCTCATCGTCTGGAGCTGTGGACTTTTTAGTTTTCTTTCTGCTTATGTGACTCATCCGTAATTTAGCCCACAATCCCTATCTCTATATCCTGACAACTCCCAAATTTATGTTTCCCATCCAGACTTCTCTTCTGAGTCTCCAGGCTGCTCTACCCCAGTAGTTTCCTTGATGTTTCTTTCTTTTTTTTTTTTAACATTTCAAACTTAACACATGCATGGCGGAACTCTCGTGCCTTTTTGCATTCATCCTCCAGCCTCTTCTCCACAACAGTCTTCCTTGTCCTGTTGCTTAGCCAGAAACCCTGATTCCTCCCTTTCAACAAGTACCATTGATATTCTTCCTAAAAAGTATCTTGCACTGGTTCATGCTCTCCATCTTCACTGCCAGCACCTTAGTCCTGCTGTCTTCAGCTCTTGCCTGGATTATAGCTCTCTCCTGACTGGTCTCCCAGCTTCCCCTGTGGCCTCCACTGGATCCATTTTTGGTACAATGGCAAGGTGCAGGCATACACTGAAATATATCACTACTCTCCTTAAGTAATGCCTTATCATAATCTGGTCTCTCCTTTTTTTTTTTTTTTTTAAAGATTTTATTTCTTCATTTGAGAGAGAGAGAGAGGATGAGCAGGCAGAAGGGCAGAGAGAAAGGGAGAGGGGAAGCAGACTCCCCATTGAGCAGGGAACTGACATGGGGCTCCATTCCAGGACCCTGAGGTCATGACCTGAGCTGAAGTCAGACGCTTAACCAACTGAGCCCAGGCGCCCCCTGGTTTCTGTCTTTCTAACCTTGTCTTGTGCTTCCCTCACTTGCTCACAACTCTTCAGCTGGTGAGTGGTCTTCTTTAAGTTCCTGAAGACCACCGTCTCCCCACCTGCATGTGTCCAGAACACTCTTTCCCAAGTTTCTGTAGTACTGGCTTCTTCTCATCCTTTAGGCCTCGACTTAAATACCATCTCCTCACACCATTTTATCTAGAGACTGCCATTGGTTTTCTATTTCTAGTTAGATTATTTCTTTTTTTTTTTTAAAGATTTATTTATTTATTTGAAAGAGAGAGTGAGAGAGAGAGAGAGAGAGAGCACATGAGGGGGGGGAAGGTCAGAGGGAGAAGCAGACTCCCTGCTGAGCAGGGAGCCCGATGCGGGACTCAATCCCGGGACTCCAGGATCATGACCTGAGCCGAAGGCAGTTGCTTAACCAACTGAGCCACCCAGGCGCCCTAGATTCTTTCTTAATTTGGATTTATTTTATGTGTTTGTTCTCATATTTCGTCCATCTTCCCCCTGAAGGTTTTTGAGGATAGAGATTTCGTTTTTCTTGCTCCCTGTTGGATTCCTAGCATTGTACCTGGCACACAGTTGGTATTGGTTGAATGAATTAATGAAAACTGTGAATTTAGTCATGTCTGATTTTGTGTTTACATTTTTTCTTCTTGGGTTTTAGCTAAATATCTAGTTTTCTAAATCTAGAGCGTTGAATATAAAGAAATTCAGGACAGATCTAAGATTTTTTAATGAGAAAGGTTAAAATAGCAGACTGAAGAGACTAAATAGCAGTAATGCCACCAGCTCCACTTCTGATTTTCAGCCTAGGTTCTGCTCCCTCCATCACACCATGGATATGAATTCAGTGTGACGGTTAGGAAAGTATATATTTTGAAGCTAATGGAGTAACTGGTTAATATTACTTTGGTGTTTTATTAGTGACTTGGATTCTTCCATGATTCTAAAATTTATATTCAACTTTTCAACACTTTTCACTTCTCTCTCACCAAGTGTTTTATGCTTCTCCTTACCCCTGCCACACACAGTTTTAAGGAAACTTCAGTTTTGTTATCACAGAGTTGTGAATGACCACAAAACTTTAGTCTGTTCACATAATAATACTGTCTTTCCTATCAGTCAGTGGGTCCTTCCCCCAAATCCTCCCATTAACTGCACCACCTCTGTTCCAGCAGCACTGTCTAGGCCTCAAGCTCACTGAAGACACGGACCACGTGTTAGCATCGTTTCCTTGGTTTTGGGCACATGGTAATTGCTCAATAAATGGTGGCTAGATAAATGTGAATTACCATGACAATCTGCAGAAAATTGGAAGGTGACATTTGTGCTACATGGTCTGTGTCTATACTTTCCTCTTTTTCTATTGCATTTGCTTCTCTCTTGCGGTATATCCCATTTACTATATTTTTATTTCCCTAAAAAGTTAATACTAGTAATGATTTTCTTGTAGCAAACTACTAAGGAATTTAAGACAAAAGAAGACAGATTTTGTGCATATGTTTTTCAGATATGATCATTCTGTTTCAAATGACAAGGCCCTCATGGTGCTAAGTGAAGAACCATTACTCTATATTCCTCCACCTCCTTGTCAGCCCCTGATTAACACCACAGAATCTCTCAGGTGAGCGTTGCAGATTGTTACACAAATATCAGAGTGGGTTCTTGGGTTTAGCTTTGGAACCTAGAAAACTATTTGTTCAGATTAGTTAAGTGACTGAGAGAAGCTCTGATTATTTGTCGGATGATCATAGGCGTATCAGTTGTCCAGTTTCCCCACCAACCTGATAAAGATGGTGATGGGTCTATTTTGCATGATAGTATTGGGGTTGCATACTTAAATATGCCTTATTTGAAAACTACAGAATGAGACTAATATAAAAATTCAGGATGTTAGATTTGAGAAGTGGTAACATTCGTAGCAGAAGGTGCCCTTTTTCTTCAAGTTAGGAGATAACAATTTGAAGAGAAGTGATTCTGGAGATATTTTCCTGTTAGGGCACACCTTACCTTTCCTTATCTACTTTTCCCTTGGATATTTTCCTGTGATTTTGGATTCTATTCTTGAACTTCAAAAATTGGTTCAGTTTTTTAAAGTAGTAATCAACTCTAGTTAAGTAAGCATGGTCTGACATCTTCACAACTGCTGTAAAAAGTAAGCACAATAAATGGAACCTACATTTGAACTAGTCCTTTTTTTCATTTGCTATGTTGGAAATTTTGGTTATAGTGCATTGAAATTTATTTCTTTCCTTTTTTTTTTTTTTCCTGAGTAGTTGAGTTCATTCTTTTCCTTCTCCCAAAAGAGCATGATTTTCAGAGGCTTTAATGCATCCATTTGCCAGTAGGATCCTGTAATTTACTAAATGCTCTTCATTGTCTCCAGTGTTTGTGTGTATGTAGCCCAAGAGCAGAAACAGGAAGTACTCTTGTGAAAATAACCTTTGCTTTCAGTTTTTATATTTGGAAGGTATTTAGTTATGGTTTTTTTTAAATTTTTGCTTATTTATTTTTTAAAGATTTTATTTATTTGACAGAGATAGAGAGAGCACAAGCAGGCAGAAAGGCAGGCAGAGGGAGAGGGAGAAGCAGGCTCTCCCCTGAGCAGGGAGCCCGATGTGGGACTCGATCCCAGGACCCTGGGATCATGACTTGAGCCGAAGGCAGCCGCTCAACCAACTGAGCCACCCAGGCGCCCCCCCCCTTTTTTTTTTAAATCTGAACTCATGATTGAGGAGGCTACTATATAAAAATGCATGTTGTATTAAAAATAACATTAGTATCTTAGCTTTTTCAAATCAGAAAGGAATATTGAATCATCAGGCACTAGGGATGCTATTTGGAACTTACAGAATGTGATTAAATTCATTTTTAACCAAAGGTGAGACATTTATTTCTCTGAAGTATGCTTAATTAACTAAGCTGTTTTATAGGTTAAATCATGAACTTCGAGGATGGGTTCACAGGCATGAAGTGGAAAGGACCAAGTCGAGAAGAATGACGAATAATCAGCAGAAAACCCGTATTCTTCAGGTTTGTTTCTGCTTGTCTTTGAACAATGGTTGACATATTGGTCGGCCATCTTCCCTCAGATGGGTTGCTTTTGTCCATGAAAAACTTGGGACACTTGAACTTCAGTCACTTCCCACTGCCTTTTCTGCTGCTCCAGTGCAGCCGTCGCTGCTGCTGAAGCCCTCGTCCCAGGTGTTAGAGCACCAGTAGTTCTTGCTTGGGCCTGGTGCTCCTTCCTGCTCTCTCCCCCAGCTTTACTTTCAAGCCAGGGGTTCCTGGGCATGGACATCTGTGTCAAATGATTTTGGCACAGATGGTGTGGTAAATGGTACTGTTTATCTCCTCTGTTCTTAGAGCTTTTCAGAAAGAAGGTTTTGAAACATAGGACAGCTTGGGAATGGAGGCACATCTTCGTGGAGAGCATTTTTGAACTTAGACATGTGGGTCTGGCTATAGGTTAATGACAACTCTAATTTAGAACCTATTTAGCTGGGCTTCATCTTTTATTTTTTTTTAGGATTTTATTTTTAAGTAATCTCTACACCCAGTGTGGGGCTCGAATTTAGAACCCTGAGATCAAGAGTCACATGCTCTACCTACTGAGCCAACCTGGTGCCCCAGTTGGGCTTCCATTTTAATGTTTACCACAAAGCACCGTTTGTAGTCATTCCATCATCCATCAGATATTCGTTATTACTTTTGAAGCACTTAGACTAGCAACTGGCATATTCTAAGCTCCCAACAAACATTACCTGTGGTAGTAATAATGAGTCAGGTATGGTTCTAAATCCTGGGAATATAGTAGTGAGTGCAATAAAATCCCTGCCTTCATGGAACTTACATTCTGGTGGGATAGATAAGCAATAAACAAGTAAAGTGAAAGACAAATACCATATGATCTCCCTTATATGTGGAATCAATTTAAAAAATACAGCTAAAACAAAAACTGAACTCTTGATGCAGAGAACAGATACAGAGGCCGGGGGGTAGGGGGTTGTGTGAAATAGGCAGAGAGGGTCAAAAGGTACAAATTTCTAGTTATAAAATAAGTAGGTTATAAGGCTATAATACATAGCATGGTGACTATAGTTAATAATACTGTATTTGTATATTTGGAACTTAGTAAGAGAATCTATCTTTAAAGTTCTCATCACAAAGGAAAAAATTAATTAAATAAATATTTAAATACACTCAAAACTAGAGATAAGTTCTCTAAAGAAAATTGGGGTTGGAGATTAGACGTTAAATTGAGAGATGAGTGGCTATTTTAGATTGAATAGCCATTCTAGAGAAGGCTTCTCTAAAGAGCACTTGAGTAAGGTATTGTCAAGGTAATTAATGCTAGGTGTTGTAAAAACTGGCTTCAAAGTCTCAGCTTAATGGAATAAAAATTTATTTCTCACCTACACAAGTCTGATATAGCTCTCTAGGATGGCTTTCCTTCAAGCCGTGATTAAGGAATCCAGGTTCTTTCCACTTTGTGGCCCCAACAACTTGAAATTCTTTGCTTCTAGCTTTGGATGTTGGGGAAGAGAGAGCTTGGAAGATTGTGCAGAACGTTTTAGGGATCCAGCCTGGACTTTAGCCCATGTTCAGTTGACCAAAACTTTGTGACTTTTCATGGTCTCTCTTGCAGTATAGGTTAGGCAAATATAGTCTTCCGTATGCTCAGGAAGAAAACAGTTTGGTGAGAACATTGCTTTTGCAATAGCAAAAAATGAAGGAGTGAACGGTGTAAAGATCCAAGGGAAAATCTGGAGAAAAAGGGGAGCAGCAAATATGAAGACTCAGGAGGAAACAGTCTGCATAATTGAGAAACATCAAGAAGTTGTATAAGGCTGGACTGCAATGTCTAACGGTAGAATAGTAGACGATGATATCAGGGAGGCAGCAGAGGCTAATTCGTATCCAGCCTCATAGGCTATGGTGGGAAGCATTGAGAGGTTTGAGCAGGGGAGTGACTTGATTTTCCCCCAAGATTTTCTTTTCAGCAAATTGACTGTAATGTGACTAGGCGTAGTTTTCTTTTTTTTAAAATTTAGATTCAGTTAATTAACATATAGTGTATTATTAGTTTCAGAGGTAGAGGTCAGTGATTCACCAGTTGTATGTAATACCCAGTGCTTGTTAACATCACGTGCCCTCCTTAATGTCCATCACTCAGTTACCCCATCACCTTACCCCCTCCCCTCCAGCAACCCTCAGTTTGTTTCCTATGCTTAAGAGTCTCTTATACTTTGTCTCCTTCTCTCTGATTTCATCTTGTTTTATTTTTCCGTCTTCCCCTATCCTCTGTTTTGTTTCTTAAATTCCACGTATGAGTGAGATCATATGATAATTGTCTTTCTCTAATTGACCTGTTTCGCTTAGCATAATACCTTCTGGTTCCATCCACATCGTTGCAAATGGCAGATTCGTTTTTGATGGCTGAGTAGTAGTCCATTGTATATATACACCACATCTTCTTCTTATTTTTTTAATTTTATTTTACTATGTTATGTTAATCACCATACATTACATCATTAGTTTTTGATGTAGTGTTCCATGATTCATTGTTTGCGTATAACAC